AAACTTTTGTTATATGATTTGCAATTAATTGCAATTAATAACTGGATTGCAATTAATATTCCCTTTATTTCAACACAAAAACAGATCTATTAATTGCATTAAGTTTTCCTGTAAATGCATATCTTTTTATTCTGATCATATATCTTTGTATGCTAGTAATATTCATTTAAGCTTAAAAGATTACTGAAACTGGCATTTCACTAACAATCATTACTGAAACTGACATTTCACTAACAATCATTACTGAAGGTACATTTCACTAACAATCACTACTGAAATTTAATATTTTAAAAAACTATAGTTAACCACTTCAAAGGTAGGAAACCTGCTTATTGAGATATTTTCTGATTTGCTGCATATGAAATTTCATTTCTCATATAAGCATTAACTTATAATACCAGAGTACAAATTTGTTATTAAAAACCTCAAAGGAAACTTTGAAGTGTTTATCATTTTTATTTTGCAGATTTCTCATCTGGAAAAATAGACTTTATTGAGACTTGAGGAAAATATTTGTTGCAAATCGCATAAGAGATTGGTGAAATAATTGCACAGCAACATCTCAAATAGCTAAGTCTTTTCTCTGTTAAATGAATGTACAAGTCTCCATGTGCTGTGTGTGTGTGTATGTATATATAATATATATATATTATTTCAAGAATAAATAAAAATGTATTAAATTAACATGTTTGCACGTATCAGCTTCTCCTTTAAATTATTACATACCTGTATTTGAGACTTAATGACAAATTCAACTTTATACAGTAAAACCTTAAATAATGAATTCCTCACTTCACTAACAATCCTAGTTCTCTGATCAGCAAAACAGGATGAGATGCAAAGTTTTCGTGTAATGATATCAGCCTGATAAAACAATATCAAGCTGCAGTATAACCATTTGACAGGACAATATCATGTCCCAATTTAGAAACATTTTAAAATGCAGATAACAACAAATCATATTGGATCAATTTTGAGTGGAATAGAGGCCCAGTAAATTTCAAACAGTCAAGTGGCATCTAAAGACAAAAAGATAAAATAAATACCTCCTAAAGCGTTACCTGATGTTTTTATAGATGGAAATTTTACATCTGAACAACAACATCTTTCTCACCATTATTTTCCACTTATGTATCCACTCTCCTTTGTACAAGTGCAGTAAAATTAAATTAAATTTTAGTCTATTTTATGTGCTTATCTTTGTTTTATAGTTAATGATTGCTACTGCTCTGGAGTTGCAAACTTACATATAAAGTACTGTTATAAAACAATATAAATAGATAACAACAATTAATATAAATAAATAGTCATCTGTGGTCTAGGAATGAATAATTCCATTTTATGTTAATTCTCATGGTAAAATTCAGAACATTTTGGTTCAGAACATTTTGGATTTCAGAACATTTTGGTTGTCAAACCAGATTCAGGAATGAATTAAATTCATGAACCAATATTTCACTGTATATACTATTTAAAACTTTAACCATAAGCTTTTTAAGGTGTTATAGAACAGCTTGGAATTTCCCAATTGCAAGTATTTTTTCACTCTTTAAGCAAAAAAAAATTGTTTGCACTTCTAATTAGATTTGAATTAAATTTGCAAATAAATTTATTCTTATTAAAAATGCAATTTTAAAACAGATTTCATTTAATTATACAATTATAATGGCATTTTAAGCTGTGCCATAAGTAAATTTCATTTAATTATGCTTTCAAAATGTTATTTTTAATGTAGTACAGCTTGTTCGCAATTACCAATGAATAACAGAGTGCCTGAAAATGTACTGCCTTTCCTTACATTGCATTCCATGTGATAAAAGAATCTACATTTCAGTTGGCTATCAAAAATTACATTACATAGTGATTAAAAATTTATAATAAAAAATAATAATAATAGTAACGTTAAGGTAATATTGCAGGTACACTGAAAAAAAAATGGGACAGCTCTATATCTTCCATTTTACTGTGCCGATTGACGAAATTCAACCTGCACTTTTCATGTCTCGAAAGCGTGGCTTAGGATATGTATTAGATTTATATATAGCATTGTTCTAATATAGGGATTTTGACACAAAAATCGGACATTTTCTGAAATGACATGCCAATTTTTCCCATATTTCAGTTTTGTGATTCAAATTAGGCCAAACTGGCAAGTTTTGTAAAAATCGCACGAGTAGTTTTTAAAAAATTAGCTCTCAAAATTTGACCTCCTCAATGCTAATTGAATTTGATATATATTTATTAACATCTCTTTTTTTTTATTAAACTTACTTGATTCCTTCTTCCAGAATTCGAAATTTAGGTTCACTCCAAATAAAATTTGCCTATTTTTCATGATTTATTTAAAGAAAAACATTTTTATAAATTTTTCGAAAACATTTTTGTATAACAACCTATAAAATGTTCACCATCATCTTAAAGTAGATGTATTTTTAAGTATACCTGCAAAAAATTAGAGTTTTTTATTTGAAATTTCCTAGGATATACAAGAATTTACATATTGGCGCATTTTGAAATTTCGCATGTTTATTATAAGCGATAATAATCAAAATATGGTTTACACAGTTTGTTAAAATTATTTTAAATAATGAATGATCACTTCTTTCTGCTCATTTGGAATGTGTGTGTGTGTGTGTAATTATGGCAAAGCCTCGAGGGCTATCTGCCTAAGGGAAGGGATGCCTTCGTGGAGGACTTTCTAAGGGAAACTGGCTCGTATACACTTTACACATGGGGAAAACTACGAAAATGCCCATGCAGCCAGCCCGTTCGCGGGATTCGAACCTGGGACCGAACTACCAGTGTTCAGCGACTTTACCGCTCGGCCGCTGGTGGGCTCTCATTTGGAATGAAAAAAAGGAAAGGAAAATAGGTTGCTATAAATTAAGAAGTTCGCCAAGTGAATTATTCTTAGCATAATCTGAAAAAAAAAAAAAAAAAAAAGTTCAAAATAAATTTTTGAATTTTCCCATAAATTTCCCCCAAAATTTTACAAAATTTAATATTTAGGCATAATTTAAGTCATAGAATTGAAATATGGGAAAAAATTGGAAAAATTGTCATTCCAGAAAATTGGAAAAAAGTCATTCCAGAAAAAGTTCGATTTTGTGTCAAAATACCTATATTAGAACAATGCTGCATATAAATCTAATAATATACAGTCAAAAGTCATTAATTCGGACACCCATAATCCGGAATGATCTATAATCCGGACCTCAAAGCTACAAACTTTCTGCGCATGCGTCCCGTTAACGCATGCGCGTAAGACCTTTACGGCTGCGAATACGCGTGTTCGTGTGCGCAAAATACGTTTACGAATGCGCGTTTAATGTATAACGGATGGTATAAGCTAAGATAAATTATCTAATTCAGTTAATGCTGCAGATTGCGTTGTTCCTTAATCTTAATTGGATCCGGCTTATTATTTTTTGAAGACTGTTAGAGCAATTTTATAAAAGTAAGTTTGAACTTTCGATTATGTCAAATAGAATTTCTGATATATACTAACATGTATTTACTAATATGTAAAGGATCTACAAAACGAAAGTATGTTTCGAAGTCCATTAAACAAAAACTGGAATTGCTGCAAAAAAATGGATACAGGCATATCCTTTATTTATCTAAAATTTAACGTTTGTTTATCTTCAACTCCTCGGCGTGCAATGAATTGGAAGTTGATCTGTCAGCACTATTCTTATCTTCAGGGCAGATGTTTTTATTTTATTTGGCTTATAATTCCTTACAAAATGTAGTATTTCATCTCGATGTACTCCTTCTTTGATATGATTTAAATCAAATTCCTCATCATTATAATTCGCTTCCGATAGCAAAGAAAGTGACAAAGGTTACTGAAAACGAAAAAATTTTGATTGACTAATTAGTCAGTATTCTCAACACAGCAACTTGGATTCTCAACACAACACAGGACTTGAACAGTGGAACTTTGTAACTGAACAAGAAATTTTATCTGTTTATAATTATATCTGTTTTTCATATTTTTAATTTTATAATTTCTGCATGCCATCTTACCAGATTTAAACTGATGATCTATAATCAGGAAAAATCGATAATCCGGAATCACGGAAGTCCCGAGAAGTCCGGATTAACGACTTTTGACTGTATATCCTAAAACGTGCTTTCAAGACACGAAAAACACAATTTTAATTTCATCAATTGGCCCAATAGAACAGGAAATATAGAAATGTCCCTTCCCCTCGCCACCCCTGCACAGTGTACATACATTTGCAATGAATTGCAAATTTATTATTAATAAAGAAAACTACAATGAATGTCATGATTTCTCTAAAAAAGTGCTTTTAAAGTTATTGTCAATTTGTGTGTGACAAACTCATTACTAAAGCAAAGCTTCAACTGTTTTTACACATTTCATACAAAATTTTAAAATTATCTAATTTAATATTATGACTTAAGCAATAATGATGGCAATAAATGGAACTCTCATATGCTTAATGATTTATGTTCCAAAATAAACATTTCACTGATAAAGCAAAGAATTATCCTATTTGACAGTCACATAAATTATATGGATTTTTTTCTGTTATAATACACATGAAGCAGTTTTCTGCAGAAATATATATGCCCCAACACTGACTTAGCTAGTGTTGAATGTAATGTTCTTATTTCTAAAATCATCTTGTTTCAAAATAAGTATTATTAATCAAAGAGTTTTAGAATTTCCATTATATTCCCTTCCTCTGTTTGTTGAAATACAAAACCTAACAGAGATATTTTTTATGTTTAGAAAAATTTTATAGCTGAAATGGAATAATGATAAAACAGAGTTTTATATACTTATTATATTTTATAAACAGATAAAACTCTTTTATCATTGGAAATATCAATTTGGTGCATGTATCCTTTTACACAAATTTGTTAGGTATGTGTTATCCTATACCAGAAGAAATCCCAATTATATTAATAATGATTACTATTGTTGCTGTATTTATAATATCATTATAAAAAGAAAAGAAAATATATACCTCATCCCTCCATCCAGCTAGAGTACTAAAAATTTCTTTTGTTCTTAATTCTCGCAAAACATTATCAAATTTTTCACTTCTTTCATCATAAGTTCTCCATTCTGGATTTAAAGTTACCCTTTCACGAGATTTATCATATTGAAAAACACTTGGATAGTGAAGAAGATGTTTCCATATATCAGCCCTTATCACTCCAACTTGTTCTTCTCCAACGAAAAATACTTTACAGTCACCTTCATCAGGACCTTAAAAAAAATTTGAAAGCAAACTGTAAGAAAAGTAATTCAGAGGGATAATTAAATAATTTGTATATATTAATTCAATCACAATGCTGTAAGACTACAAAACTAAAACATGAATGAAAAATAAGAGTTACAGTACAAAGTCTGAAATCCGGACATCTAATATCCAGAATGATCTAAAATCCGGACCTTAAAGCCACCAACAAAATTTGTTTAGGATTTTTTTTTTAATGCATATTTGATTTCCCCCCCCCCCCCCCGTAAGAAAGCATGTGGAGAAGCTCGATTCTTAATTTCACTTCGTTACTGAATAAAATACCTTGTTATTGAAGAAACAATCATTTTAACATAAATTTGTGTGACCAATAATTTGGCTCCATAGCTGCGTATCTGCTTTTCCAATTAATGGATTTTGTAAAGAAATGTGGAGAAGCGGTAAAAAGTTAAGATATAACAGAAATTTTTCATTGCAATGGCAATGATCAGTTCAATCAACGGACAGTGAATTCTGTAGTGTGGTTCTAGATCCAGAAAATAGCATTAACGATAGTGAAGAAAGTGACTAGAGGTTATTAAAAATGAAAAAATTTAAATTGGCAAGTTAGTCGGAATTCTCGATGCAGTAATTACATAACTTGAACAGGGGAATTTTGTAACTGAGTAAGAAATTATTTCTGTCTAAAGAAATGAAGAGAAAGCATAAGCACAAAAAATGAAGCAACGTAAACAATTTACATTCAAAGATATGTCTAATAAAGTAAACAGATAAAGGGTTTTCATCTGCAGAGAACCCGTTGGCGCTTCGGGAAAGAACCCGTTGGCGCCCTTGCATTTTTACTCGCCAAGCTCGCGGTTCAGCGACGATGAGCCGAGCCTGTAAACGTGATTTTTAGCGCTTGTAAATTCAAATTAGCAAACAAAACAATATATTAAGCATATGGTAGCAAAAATTCACAGATAATAAGCATGTAGATGTAAAACTAACCGGTTAAACGTGATATACGAAAATAAATTCGTATTAAATTCAAGTTAGCAGAGAAAAGAATATATTAAGCATAAGACAAATATATAACAGGATTCATAGCCACATTTTAGTTAAAAAAATAGCACCTATAAGCACTTTTCAAGAACATTTTAAGAAAAAAATAAGCACCTGTCTATTACATTATACACAACTGCATAACCTTAAAATTAGACTTGTAATTTAAAATATAAAATGAAGTATTTATTAAGAAAGAATAAGCATTACCGCAACCTGGAAAATAATATTTTTTTTTTTTTTTTTTTTTTTTTTTTTAATTTAAATAATAGTTCAATTACAGAACTAGTTTACAATGAGAGGAAAAAAACTATGCAGAACTAACTATAGTACAAGATTTAATGATGAAATTTCAGTTCAAATAGAGAAAATAAATAATAAGGCATATTTATTGTATTCACTTGGAACCTAATAATAAATACAATTTTTTTTGCACTCTATTGATATTTAAATAATTTAAATCTAAATTCTGAACATTTTCTAATTTTCATTGTATATCAGTTTTCCTTACAGATATTGCAAGCAAAGTAATTTAAGTAAAAAAGAGAAACATTTCTGAAATCAGGAGACAGGAAATTGCTTCATGCAGTCATTTTTTAACAGCAAAAGCTTAACTAACCCGCATACTCGGAATTTTTCGAATATTCCATATTGTTGAGCGTAACTGGAAAAAGAGGAGGGGGGGGGGGGAGATTGTAGCCGTTGTTTAGATTTCTCGGCTAAATAAATAATTTTGACATTTCGATATGCGCATCATATAAAAATAGACCGACGGAACTGAGAAATATTCTGCTTAGAAGGCACAGTAAAACTGTTTTAAGTGTTCATAAATAAATCTCAGACTGAAAATCAAAATTAATCATCTCTGCAAAATACCGCAAACGTTATTGCGCCATACATGCGGCGTAATTCTTCCATACGTGATATTACGCAATCGGAATCAACAGCTGCCGGTATTGGGAGAATAAAGAACTAAATAACTGGGGTGTTTTTCATTCTAATTTTCAACAGACGGCGTTAAATTTTCAGAATAGAATCATTCTTCGCTTGGGTTGGTAGACCGCAGAACTTTTAGTCCTATTCAATCCAGTGATTGGAAAGTGACAAAAAAAAAAAAAAAAAAGTCCGTTGCTTGTTTTGCAGCGAACTGTAACAGTTTCAATATTCGAGATTTTGCGGAGAAAGGGGAGAACCTCCCAATCTTCGTACTGTATAATGTATTGGCCAAAAAACCAAAATTTTTTACTATTCGATTATTTTCCCTTATTTATTACTTTCGCATTTCTTTGACCAATAGAACGACGGGCACCTGTCTGTACTCTTCGTGCACACCAAAGTTATGTTAAGCAGAGAAAAGGGAAAAGCTATTTCCGGGAGTATGATTCACCATCTGACATTCCATATTAGGAAGAAAGTTGTTTATTTAGTTTCGGCTTTGGTACCGAGAAAAATAGCGCGTTCTTAAAAAAAAAAAGCACTAAAGCAAAAAAATAAGCACTAAAAAAAAAAAAATAAGGGCTTTAAAGAAAAAGTAAGCACCTATAAGGGCCTTTATATTTTATTTTCAAATATAAGACTTATAAGCACTTTAAGGACCGCTACGAACCCTATATAAGCATTATAACGGAAATAAAAATTCATTTAAAAAATATAAATTAGTATTAATATACTGAAATTACCGTTAAACGTGATAACTAAAAAAAATTGTCTTAAATTCCATTTAACACAGAAAACAATATATCCTTACACCAGCAGGTTTGCTGATTTTTGATGACTATGGTAAACTATTCTGTCATCTTAGATAAAAATATTTTTTTTATTTCATTTAATCATCTATTTATTCACACCTGCCCTGAAAGGTTATTGTTAGAAAAGCATTAACAATATATTACCTTGTTAAATTTTACAAACCATAAAAATTGGTTTATTCTCATAATTTTAGATGACAATAACCAATAATAAAAATAAAAGCATTACTTAATTATTTAAAATGCACATGCACATTTTTGCGGCCTACGGAAACAGATTATTTTAGAGGTTGGAAACCTCATGTTTCTTAGAGCTGTTAATAATTAAGAACACAACGTAAACAGCCGTGTTACAAATTAGCATTCACCCCTCCTGCCGTATTTTCATCCTTTCATCCCGAACCGAGAACCGGCATCTATCTACGAAAATATTTCTATCTATTCGTTGTTAAAAAATTCAGAAAAAATAATAATAAATAAGAGAGAATAATATAAATCTGCATGCGAACAACGACAGTGATATTCTCAAATGACGAAGAGAGGTTACAAACTTCGAAAGCGAATGGTAATTGCGGTTACAGTTTGACTATATCGCCAAATTGGCGATTTACATTACGGGTTCTCGCGAAGGCTTCCCAGAAAATTTAAGCTTTTATACACTCATGTCCATAAATTAAGGATAATGCAAAATCAGGCAAAGGAAAAGTTAGAAGCAAAACAAATTTGACTTATTTGTAAAGCTTATTTATTAAACAAAAGGTAAAGAGCAAAAACAGATGCTATATGTTTGATATTATTAAAAAAATTAGCGATTTTTTTTCTCCCTGGAGCAAATTACCAAAAAAAAAAAAAAAAAAAAAACTTATTTACAAAAAACCAATATTACATGGTTGGTTTGATTGTTAATACATTGTATGTCTCCCAGACGATGCAATACAGTCCGTACAACGCCTAGGCATCTGAGTATCAAATTATCGATCTGATCTTGGGGGATATTACATCACTCAAAAAGCAATGCACTCCGAAGTTCCGGTAGACATGTAGAAGGAGGTTGACGGGCTGCAACTCGTCGGCCAAGCATGTCCCACACGTGTTCTACTGGTTCAAGTCTGGTGAGAATGCTGGCCAGTCTGTACGGGTGATATCCTCCGATTGAAGGCATTCGCTTACGATATTTGCACGGTGAGGACTGGCGTTGTCATCCATAAACAAATTGTGTGCCCATGGCACCCCGAAACAAATGTACATGTTGTTCCAGAATGACGTCCCGATAGATATGGCTTGTCATGATTCCAATTTGAACATGAAGGTCAGTTCTGGAACCCAGAATAATTCCACCCCAAACGAGCACTCCTACACCACCGTAACGGTGTCGTTCAATGATGCTTTCTTGGTGGTAACGAATACCTGGAGCTCTCCATATGAAAGTCCGGCGAGAATCAGACTGCAAGCTAAACCTGGACTCGTCGGAAAACATCACACAAGCCCACTGTTGCGGTGTCCACAGTGCATGCTCTCTACTCCAGGCTAACCGCAGGCGACAGTGAGTTGCAGTAAGTGGAACGCATCTGACAGGTCTACGAACATATATAACCAATCTGCCCTAAGCGTCTGTACACGGTCTGCCTTGAAATTGTCGTACCAGTGGCTGAAGAGAGCTGACGAGGCAGGTCTCAGGCTGTGCTCCACCTGTTTGTTTTGGCAGTAACTGCCAAATACCGGTCCTTATTCGGCGCTGTAACTCTGGGGCGACCTGTGCTGTAACGTCTACTCACATTACCATCACTTGGAATCTTTGCCAAGCCAGAGGACACTGGGCAATCCATTGTCTGATACTTCCGTTGGGTAGCCACATTCAGACGGCGTAATTCTACACGTAAAAATCATCCAATGCGTCCTTGTGTCGGTTATTGCACTGAAATGCTTATAAAGTGTCCGCGAACAATTTTACTTCTTTGCCTGTATTCCTTATATATCACTCTCTTACACTCTCGTCATTGTGACGTACCATCAGTGTCATCTGGTTACTTCCTGGAATTTGCATATGATTATTGAAGATGTGTGTAGTGATTTTACAGGTGATATATTTATTTTAGAGTTCGATTTCCGCGTGACTCCGAATTATCCTTAATTTAAGGATATGAGTGTATATATTGATACCCTTTAAATCATTGATGCTTCGTTATCTCATAAATCACGATTTCATATTTTTAATT